TATATGGTTGTATATTTTTTTACACTGATGGAAAGTAAGTAATGGCATTACTTTTATCGTTACTTTTTATGATAACGAATTGATAATGACGGTATAATTTTTTATGATTAATTAAAAACTAAGTATTGGGAAAGAGATATTTTTTAAAATAACTCATTATCATCACGTGTTATTTATTGAAAAAGATATTTTACTATTTATAATTATAGTTAAAATAACAAATGAACGTAACGATTCAACGCGTTAAAACACAAATAGTAAGATATATGTTTCAATATCTAATCCATAGTGACAAGTTACTTTTTAAAAGTAACCTCCCCAATCTTAGCTTTTAAGTAGATATTGTTACCATGACACGTTAAAACATAAATAGTAAGTTACGTGTTTCAATAACTAATCCATACTTTTTAAAAATAACATTCCCAAAGTTAGCTTTTAATTAGTTATTGTTACCATCATGAAAAGTTGCATTGTTAATGCCAAATCATTATAATAGATTATAGAAAGTAAAGATTTCTATCCATTATAATTATATTTCTCATGCCCATATATGTTTCGGGTTCGACAATTTTACTACTGAACATACATGAAACTCGATGTTTAATTCAAATAATGCATTTATATTGTAATAAACATATAATATATAGTAAATATATAGTAAATAATTACTTATCAAGAACTCCTATCTGTTCCGTGTTTTTCGAAATTTTAGTTGAAGTTGCTGAGTGTAGTTGATCTTTTTTTATTATTGTATCCGGGTTTGCATCGCTACTTACATTATCCATATCATCTGTACATGGAGGTAATATCCTACATTTAAATATAGAATGAATGACAAAATAAAAAAATGCATAGAAGTTCGTTTCAATTATATTACGCATATTATTCCATTATGCAGTCAAATGTATTGTTTTATAATTTTTAACTTATTATTTGGATATTGAGATGCGATTTTGCATCTCAATATGGAAAATACATATCTTATATCGATCTGATAATTCTTATTTGAAAGTTAAAGTAAACGAATTTTACTAATTTGTACCTTCCTGAATACTAAACATAGTAATAGTACACATATTTCGAAAAATACCTTGTTCAATACTTGTTTTAATCATTACATTTTTTAGATGTTATTTATTTATTACTACCAATTTTATATTTTTCCATATCTATTTTTGATGACCTTTACAGTACTTACCCGTGCACAAATTTTAAGTGTTGATGTAAGTTCCGAATAGTGCTCTTAAGTTCTGAGCCACATATGTTACATGTCGCATACTGTGTGTCTTTTATAGTAAAATGATCCCATACCCAATATGTAAGTTTATCTTTCTTTTCGTCTTCTGTTAATTCGTTTGAATGTGCCTTTACCAAGTGATCGTGTAACATAATCGAGGGTCGAATTGGTACTAAGTCCGGACAATGTTTGCAGTTTGCCGTACGTCTTCCTGGTATTTTTGTATAATGTCTACGTATCCACCGACGAACCGGGAACACCTCACGGAAATATGTTGCTCCTTGCTCTGCCATTACAATCGTTTTGTGTTACGGAATATTCGTGACTAATCACAGAAGAGATAGAAACGATACCAGACGCTTTTGAAGAAACTGCTTATAGAAAGTCCAAAACAGAGGTACGGTTCTCAGACGGAATGTAAATATTGATGTGCGTGTATAATTTAAATTTACTTAACTGTCATATCTTACAGTGATTTTGAATAATCAACACAACTCTACTTATAATAATATAATATATGTATATGTGATAACACAAACTATAGAAATCAAAGCCTTAAACGGTCTAGCTGGATCTTAATGCTTGTATGATTCTTACGTGAATTTATATACTACGTATGTAGTCCCCAGAAACGCGCGACGCGCGAAATGATTCTTCGGTCTTGAAAATGCTAACTCTATTAAACTACCGCAGTAACATCACGAGCTAAATTGACTGGCAATTTAACAAATTTTTTGTGCTTATTCACATCTTCGAAACGATCTTAATAATGATGAATAACATATAAAAATCTGTAAATAATTAGCTCTTATTGCGAAAAATATTACCTCGGTCGGGAGTCAAACCCGGATCTCTTGCATACCCTGCGAGCGTCCTCTTACTAGTTTAATAGAGTTAGCGTTTTCAAGACCGAAAAATCATTTCGGCGCGCGTTTCTAAGGACTACATACGTAGTACATAAATTCATAAGAATCATACAAGCATTAAGATCCAGCTAGACCGTTTAAGGCTTTTTTTCTATAGTTTCTACCTATAATAATTATATATTTTTTAAAATGATTAAAAATGTAAAATTTTGTTCTTGTTTCTCTTTACATAGTAGTACAATTTTAGTATTAATTGAATCTCACTTTCCATCAACAGCGTCATCTATTAATACATACGCAAGACCGCCGTTGATGTATTATATAATAAAGCATTTTTGTGCAAATAAGATTTTGAGGCTCATTATTATTGTACTAAAATTTGGAGCCCATTATTATTGTACTAAAATAAAATTTCTAGAACATAATTTTGTTGGCAATATTTATTAACACAACTTTGTAAATATGAAATGTCAATTAGTGATTAGAATTTTTTGATATTAACATAAAAATAAAATTAAAGACAGAAAATTAATGTTATCGCGAATAGAATGTACATACAAGTACGTTTCTGCAACAAATATTCATAAGAGATCACTAGTGAAGGGGGATGTTAAGGTAGTCTGTTTTTTCGATTAATCGCAATAATATTTGTAAATTGAGTTTGCTTGTATTATTTTTACAGATTTGGAAATTATTTTTCGGAGTTAAGTACGCACTAATACTAACCTCTAGTGTGGAATTTAAGTCATGAACGACAAAAGTGTTTGAAACGGAAATACTTTTTATTATTTCTTATAGTTAAATTTTTATTAATCATCGTCTAGCATTGTCAAGTTATGACATCATTTGTTTAATAAGTAAGTATATACAGCGTATTTCTTAAATAACGCCCACTAATTATATAGTGTTATTCCTAATAAAAAACCTAATCGAAAAGGCCTCTACCATTTTACAATTTTCGCAATAGTTAACGAGATATTAATTTTTAAAAGTTGCCGAATATACCGATAAAATCGATGTAAGACAATTTTAAGATATTTTTCAGTGTTCTCTGTGAAACAAATTCAAGATGTTTCTTAAAGAACTTTTAAAGATATCGTAAAAGTTGTCTTATATGTCGGTTTTAAACATTTTGCTCAGTGGGTAACTAAAAAAAATATTGCAAAAATTATAGAGAATTTTTCGATTCAGTTTTCCAGAAAATAAGGTAAGAAATAAAAATAACGTATCTACTTATTTAATATGATAAAAATCCGAACTACATAAATTTAGATAAAACTTGCCAGCATATCGGAATGTCACGAAGCCAGGTGCATCTTTTTACAACAGTTGGCATTACTAGTACCAACCGTTGCACAAAAAAAATATAAAGGATGCTCATATTACCTGCAGTGCTCATAATGCCCTATTATACGTATAAAATATGTATGTATATATTATATATTTATATTAATATACTTACATAAATATACAATTTAATAATTGTTATTTGGCTTTGTTTCATACTTCAGTTAACAGTTTTTGTCTACGTTGTAATAATTGTAAAACTATGATTAATTAAATTGTTTGAAATTAATAAAATTGTACACTGAAAAAAAATTGTAATTAACAATTTTTTAATGGAGTCAACAGTCGGTCTATTTCTCTTATTGATAATAATAAGCGTTTATGGGTTGAAGCTTTCCATATTATCGTTATGGTTTGGGATTGCAAAAAAGAAAGAACAGATCTGCAGGATTTCGGAGCTCAAATATTTACCATATTCACATTTTTGAAAGTAATCTATTTATTCGATGACATTTTTCTTAACAACTCCGCATTTGCGTACATGCTTTCCAAAAATATATTTGAATTAGATCGTTAATCGAAAAAACGTAATCAATATCTATACTTTTGTTTTTAAATATAAAAATTTTTTTTAATTTTATTTCCAGTTGGTTTATCTTTTAAAAAAGAATACATTTTTGGTTTTAGTAAGTGTAAAGTAAGAATGCACTGTTTCACAGCTTCAACCAAAGTACATATATTTTGGAAACAGTACAAATGATAACCCCAGTTATGATAGAGAGGATAATTAATAGGTAATAAATAAAGATTTAAACAATGCAGTATATTGATAACCAGATAAGACAGTGACATAAATTTTTTTATGTAAGTATCGGTTTCATCTAAAATTAATTAACATTAAAGATATGTTGCAAATAGGTTATTCATTAATTAATTTTTATATGTTTAAAAATATATTACAACAAATTAAAAATAAATTGTTGTGTTTATTAGTCAAAGATTTTCAATTTATTTTGTCGTTTACTCAGTAACTTCTTTATTCTTTATTGATATTGTATAAAACGATACTATGTTATTTTTTTCAACTTTTTTCCTTCGATTTTTCTTCTAATTTCTTGCAATACTGTATGCGCTATCTATTTCGTATATGTGATTTAATTAATAATTTAATTTTTCAATTTTAAGTGTGATTGATACATTGAAGATACATAACTTAGATAAAATGTATATTATCGAGATATATAAGAAGGAATATTACACAATTTTTTTAACTTAATTCTGGTAATTAAATTGTACCAAAGTGTTCTTGCGGATTTATTCATTAGTAACGGAGCCGTATGATTCATGTCTCTTTCTTTCTATGTTCGGCTATTATATAATATATTACGTCAGAGTATGAAATTATCTTTAAACTGTATCGAATTCATACGTCCGCTGATACCAGGTGCACTCCTAATAACAACCTTAGTACATGTACCAAAAAATCGCTAAAACAAATCGCCTATTATGCGAACTGAACCATGGAATATTCTATTATCTTTACAGTAATACCAAAAAGAGTAGCATATCATTATGACTTTAGCTATAAACAAAATATATAACATCAGTATAAGGAGATGCACGTTTCATGAATAATGTGACTTAAAAATTAAATCAAATTCATTCATTATATCATATACTATATAATAACGCTTTGATAGGTTTTGTAAAATTATAAATATTTTATAGTAAGTATGTTTTTATAAATTTCCTATGTTTTATATATATAATTAACAAAAATGCATTTAATCAAATGTCATGTATTCATTACATAATTAATATAGTCAATTGTTGTCTACTTAGCGTCTATATTTAAAATTCTTTATTTATTGTATTACGCAAAAAATTAGTAATTTATATTAAATTTTCTGTTATCACTTTTATCAGTAGTTGATGTATAGTTGCTTATTTAACGTATTTGTTTTCCTTTATTTGATTACAACCATATTTATATCATAAATTTAGATTTATATTTTAATTTACTGTTTTTAAATAAAATAAAATATCATACTTGATGCATCCCCTATAAATATTTTCATCTGTATGTCTCATAAATTGTGCTTAAGGTAATATCTATTCAGCTCAAATTACATGTCGAATAAGTACCACTTAAGACCTAATTTAGATAATTTGTTAATATAAAATATTTGCAAAATTACACCTAGAAGAATTATTATAGTATCTTGTGTAATATTACACGAGTCACAAAATATATTTAAACTAAAAATTAAACCTTTCATAATATTCAGCTCGTTCATACAATATCAATAATTAATATCATTAATTCAAATAATGTACCATAAGCTATTCCTTCGTAAAAAGATCGAAAACTTCTTTGCAAAAGTCTATGTCAAATGATGCTACAGATGATGGTTGGCTTGGAAATGATAAACATTCTTCTATATCTATATCATGTACTGAAAGATCCGAAACATCATCTTGTACATCTCTGCGTAGAGAAAGATCCATAGTGCGATTTGTCTCATTTCTAGGAAAAGAAAGAGCCAAAATATGATTTGTTAATGTTAATGTAATTAATGGATCTTTATTCATATACAGTATGAAAGAACTGAAAAGTTGTAAAATGTTTATTTGTACTTAACGTTACATTTATATTACTCGTAATTGTGTGAAAATTGTTATTTTTGAATGGAATATGTATATGCGTATATTTCATTATATTGATGAGCTGTTATTTTAATCGTTACATTTTATGATAAAGATTTGATAATGACAGTGCAATGTTTTATGATTAATTAAAAACTAAGTATTGGGAAAAAGAAATTTAAAAAAATAACTCGTTATCATCACGTGTTATTTATTAGGAAAAAGATATTTCACAATTTATAACCAGTTAAAATGACAAATAAAAGTAATATTTCAACGCGTTACAACAAACATAGTAAGTTACTTGTTTCAATAAATAATCCGTAGTGACAAATTACTTTCTAACAGTAACATTCTCAATCTTAGCTTTTAATTAGTTATTGTTACTATTATAAAAAGTTGCAATGTTATTGCCAAGTCATTATAATAAATTATAAAAAGTAAAAATTTCTATCCCTGTGATACTTATATTGCATATAGCCATATATCATATT